GTCCAGTTGCCTAGTGAAAAAGTACCTTTGGGACAACTGTGACCTGGATGACTGAGAATCTCCATAGACAATGAAGACTAGACATTTCTCTACTGTCTAATGAAGAGAAGGACCAGGGGGGACATGATAGCAGTGTTCCAGTATCTCGGGGGCTGCCACAAAGAAGAGGAAGTCAAGCTGTTCTCCAAAGCGCCTGAAGGCAGCACAAGAAGCAACGGATGGAAACTAATCAAGGAGAGAAGCAACCTGGAATTAAGGAGAAATTTCCTGACAGTTAGAACAATTAATCAGTAGAATAACTTGCCTCCAGAAATTATGGGTGCTCCTACACTGGAGGTTTTCAAGAAGAGATTAGACAACCATTTGTCTGAAATGGCATAAGATCTCTTGCTTGAATAAGGGGTTGAACTAGAAGACCTTCAAGGTCCCCTTCCAACTCTTTGTGGATCTATTTTTATTTCATTCTCTTAATTAAAACCCCTCTGAAAAATGTAAATTGGGAAGCAGACCTGCTGAATAGCAAAATACAAGCTTTTAACATCCTACGTGGGTCCTGTAAGCACTCCTAGAAGAGAAAAGGCATGGTAGCTACAAACATTTTTTGTTGCTGTTGTTCAGAAATCACCTGTCTGCTTAGAACAATGATGGCGAACCTTTTAGAGACCAAGTGCCCAAATTGCAACCCAAGACCCACTTATGTATTATCGGGTGTCGGGTGGGCGTGGCCCATTGGGTGGGTGTGGCTGTGATGGTAACAGCAGACTGGGTGGGACCAAAAAGTTCAATCAATCAATTCCAACTTTGCGAGAGCTTTTTTTTCCCCCCGCAAGAAGTTGAAATTGATTGATTGATTGAACCTTTTTTTTTTTTTTTGCACATTGTGGCGGAGGCCTAAAGTGAAAAGGTTTTATAAAACCCAGCTGAAGGCCTAGGACTGGGGCAACGTCCCGTGTGCCCACAGAGAGGGCTCTGCGTGCCACCTGTGGCATGTGTGCCATAGGTTCCCCACCACGGGCTTAGAAAATTCTCTGATATCTGCTATGGTGGTAGAGATCACCCCCGGAGAATAAAGGTCATGGTAGGGAGAAAATCTACCCAATTTGACTTTGATTGGGAGGGTGTCCTTGTTAGCCACCCACCAACCCATTTTTTGAGAGAGACTATTTATTGATAGAAGAGAATATTTGCAGCTCAGGATTGAACTGTGGGGTTCTTGGTGCTCTCTGAACTTGGTGGTTTTCTTGCAGACATTTCATCACCAAACTAGGCAATATCATCAGTGCTAGAAGGGAGTGGGGTTTGCTCTTAGTTTTATATACTCATGATGTCAACATTCCAGAAGTACAGGTGGTCCTCAACTGACAACACTTTGTTTAGTTCAAAGTTACAATGGCACGGAAAAAAGCGACTTATGACCGTTTTTCACACTTACGACCATTGTGGCGTGCCCATGAACATGTGATCAAAATTCAGATACTTGGCAACTGACTCCTACTTATGACAGTTGCAGTGTCCTGGGGTCACGTGATCCCCTTTTGTGACCCCCTGCCAAGCAAAGTCAATGGGGAAGCCAGATTCACTTAACAACCATGTGAATAACTTAATAACTGCCGTGATTCACTTAACAAATGTGGCAAGGAAGGTCGTAAAAGGGGGCAAAATTCACTTAACAACCATCTGACGTAGCAACAGAAATTTTGAGCTCCATTGTGATCATAAGTCGAGGGTTACCTGTATTCCACAAAAAAAAAAGATGCTTATTCTTACTATGAATCCAACGTGGGAGACAAAAAGTTGCTGATTGTGAATGCGATTTTATTTACCCAGGATTCATCTTCTTGAGTACTACGACCTCTATCCCTAGGTAATTATTCCCAGGACTGCACTGTGAGCATGCAAGCATCTGCACATTTATTTGGAAACTCTGCCAAACCGATGTTGGCTTAAAATACCTTGGTGAAATCAGTGAGGTGACTTAGTAATTAGGCTAACGTCTATCTCATTTAAGGCTAGTTATCAAAGGACGCAATTTCCATGCCTTCAGCATCCCCAACAGATAGCTGTCTAGTTTTTTTGGGGAGCGATTATTTGCATGCAAGACCGACGGTTTATCCACCTTCGTAGTTCATCTTGAATGGCAGATCATCCCCGGGGTTTAAGGCAGGATTTTTTTTTTCCCTAGCCCTTAGCTGTGAATATCATGAAATTGAAATGTGGACTCTGCTCCGTGTCAGCTTACTTCTAAGCCATTACATCTCTCTCGTTCATTCATCACTGCACAGCTGGTTATATTCCTTAACTGCTTCTGAGTTCTCTCTCTCTCCCTCTCTCTCTCTCTCTCTCTCTCTCTCTCTCTCTCCATTCAAACACAATTTGCAATAAGTAGCTTTTCCATTTGGTTTCACTGAAAATATCACCTGCTTTTTCTGTGGGAAAACATTGGATGCCTGGTGTTTTTGGAACCTCAGTCCTCACTGCTTGATCTGACCAAGGTGTGGCTCCAATGTTGCCTTTCCTACAGTTTAACAGTCATTGTCCCAAAGGTATTTTTTTCCCAAAAGGCAAACTGGACTTTCTTGGGTTTTTTTCTCCCTTGAAATCATTTTGCTTCTCATCCAAGAAGCTTCTTCTGGTTCTGAAGATGCATCAAGAACAAAAAGAAAAGAAAACCAACTAAGTCCAGTTACCTTTTGGAAAAGCATCTTTGGGGCAGCCATGGGTGATTGAGAATCTCCATAGACATTCAACAATAGATCTTGAGAGGTCAGGAAAAAAGGTCTTGGTTTCTTCTGCTGATGGACCCTCCAACAAAACATTACAATGGAGCATGATCTTGTTCTGAATACCCCATTCCTTTCCTCTTTCTTCCCTTAGCTGTTTCCTCCTCCCACACAAATATTTCGCAGCTATTGAGCATCCACAATCCTCACTGGACAGTTCTGAAGTCTCCAGAACTCAGAAGCCCTTACTCAACCTTGGGAATTTTCTTAGGACATCTCATACTGACTTCCTGGCATGAGTAATGCTAATTCTTCTACATCAACATCCCTCCCTTACAGCACAAACGAAGATATGATAGAGAAGTTGTAGTTCTCAGACAATGGTCAGGGCCCGCTTTTGTTATAAGAAGGAAACTAACTCCATTCGCTTTTCTTTACATAACTATAGAGTCACACATCCCTTTCTCATGAAAAGAAACATACACCTAACTTTCTTCCTGGCACGCCCATTACGGTCTTCCACAGGTGGAGAGAAAGTTCCCAAAATTCTAGAAGCAGAAAGTTCTAGTTCTCAAACAATTATTGGCCTTTTAATGGTGTTGTCTCAACAAGAGAGAGCAAGAGATGAAAAGGCGAAGTTGTTTATTTTGGAGTCTCACAATATAGTAGGATCAGTTACAAATGTCACTGTCACTCCAAAGTAAACAAAATATACTTTGGCTGCTCCACCATAGTTCAATATGGCTGCGACTTTTTATGTACCAATGCAACCCAATGCATGTTTGTTATAAGTAACTCTCAAAGTCTTTATACAAATGTCAAGTCAAGAATGTAGAGATACAGTATGTATATGATGACATCAAGAGACTCCTTCTCCCCTTGAATATACTGATGATTAGCAGAGTGACGTGCAAAATCGTGAATAAAGTTCAGTGTCAATGAGCTCACAACACTTCCAGAATTAATTTTCCTCCCCATCCTGCCCTCTTTCTGTATAATTCAGCTACATCAGGGTTAAACTTAAACCTCGGTTTACCTTACAGCTCCTTCTTCTGCATATTGATTTAGAAGGAAAGATGGATAAAATTTGACTATGCCACTGGCTGGTTTTTCAGGGATATTTCTGGATATATTCATCACCTGGTAGCTGAGCTATCAGGTTAGGCTTCGATGAATGTACTATTAATACAAACCTGGCTATAATGCTTTAAATAGCCAGTTTGGACCCAAGAGGCACCTGTATCCCTATACATTTTTTAATGCACAAGGGGCATCTGTACAGTGTTTAACAATGATGTCACAACACCTGAAGTGATTGTCTAGAACAGTTTCTGGCGATCATATCAGGCCATTCCTATTTCTCAAAGCTTCATTCCTCAAGATGACGTCATTTAAGGGATATCACTCTCTCTCTCTCTCTCTCTCTCTTTCTCTCTCTCTCTCTCTCTCTAGCATTACACAGAGCTGGCCCAGTCTCATCCTATCCCATCCTTTACATTCCCTTTCCCCGTCCCTGATCCATTCCTATCTCAGATCAATTCCCTGATCCATTCCTATCTCAGATCAACTGGGAAAAGCAGCTGTGCCTCTTGGAAACCAGGCTCAAAGTTGACCTGAATCTCAAGCTGCCTACAGGATGAAGAACTCAAAACAATGAAAGCAAAACAGGACCCCTGATCATACATTTGATTTGTGGGAGTGGGGTTTACGGGTAGTTCTTTTCTCTGGGGATCAGGAGACCTAGATTCCAACCTGTCGGGAGAGGTGGTTCTACTCCAGCACTTCCAAAAGACACATGCTTCATAAAGGTACCCCAGAAGTTTGTATGGTGGCCTACATGATTTTTCCTCTCAAGGGACCCCCGCGTTCTATCTCACCAGATCCAGAAGCGAACCCCTCAATTCCCTCCCCAGCTGGAGACTTTCACTCCACTCCCACCCTTCACCCCACTTCCTTCTGGCTCAGCTAAGTTACTCCGGACCTCTGAACTCGCCCGAGGGACAAGGAGGGACCACGGGGATGACCTCTCCCTCCGCTTCCTAGGCGACCGCCCTCCCAAGTGTAGGATGCCGTTTCCTGAGCGCGCATCCCTCCTGCCTCCGCGCAGAGGCCCCGCAACCTAAGAGGAAGCTGAGCGGGCTGCGATCCCTCGCAGGATCCCTGCGCAGCATCCCCCCCACTCCCACCTGTCCCAAAGCGCGCAGGCATCCGGAAGGCTCGCCCAGGACCCCCCCCCCGCCCTCTTTGCGCCCCTCCGCCCGCTCCCCAGCCGCTCCTTACCTGCCACGGCCTCACGGAAGACCCCCTGCCCGACCCCCCCCTTGGGCCGAGGGGGGCGAAGCGCGGCCGGGCGCCCCGATCGTCCGGCGCCACACCGCTGCGCCTCCTCGCCTCTCCTCCTCTCCACCTGCTCGCTCGCTCTCTCTCTCTCCACCACCTAATCGCAGGGCGCACAAAAAAGCCTCCCCCCGTCGGGGAGAGGGGGGGGCCGGAGACGGACCGGGACCCCATTGGCTGGCCGCGAGCGCGCCGGCTGCCCCTTGGGCGCGGGCGGGGCCGGGCCGGCGCTGACGAAGGGGAGAGGCAAGGCGGGGAGAGGCGCGCCGCGGCGGCTTTTGTGTGCTCGGGCGGGCGGCGGGGAGCGGTCGGGCCAGAGCTGCGGCAGAGAGCCAGCCAGCCAGCCAGCCGGGCGGGCGAGCGAGCGAGCAGGCAGGCAGGCAGGCAGGCAAGGAGCGCAGCCAGCGGGGCAGGGGCGAAGCTGGTGGGCACCGTCGCAGGCACCGGCGGCGCGGGGGGGTCCCGCTGGCTTTGCCTTCTTGCTGACCGGCTCACTCTCGGCTGCTGCCTTCCCTTCCGCACTATGCATCGGAGCGCTCCGCTTGCGCCTCGCCGGGGGCCGCTGGCGCTACTCTCCGCACCTCGAGGGGCGTCGCGGGCCGTGCTGGCGGACTAGAGGCCAGCCCGGGGCAGCGCAGGAGCCGAGCCCGAGCCGGGCAGAGCAGGGCAGGGCAAGGGCAGCGGGCGCAGCCGGAGCAGCAAGGTTCGAGCAGCCGTCCCATCCGTCCGCCCCTTCGGAGAAGTCCGCCAGCCGCGGGACGAGCCGCGATGCTGGCCCTGGAGCTGCTGAGCCTGGCTTGGCTAGCCGGCGTGGTGGCGGGCCAGAACGAGACGGAGCCCATCATCCTGGAGGGCAAGTGTCTGGTGGTGTGCGACTCCAACCCGGCCTCCGATCCGGCCGGCACGGCGCTGGGCATCTCGGTGCGCTCGGGTAGCGCCAAGGTGGCCTTCTCGGCCATCCGCAGCACCAACCACGAGCCGTCGGAGATGAGCAACCGCACCATGATCATTTACTTCGACCAGGTAGGACCCCCCCACACACCCGGGCAGGGGGGATTTAAGGGGGGGGATTGGGGAGAGGGGGGAACCGGGGAGGAGGGTTTTAGGGGGGGTTGGAGAGGGGAGGGGGCACTTAGGAATAGAAGATGGAAGGGGGGATGCCTTCAAAGGACTCTTTCCTCCTCTCTGCCACCCTCACCCCCTGGTTTCCGTTCTCCTGAAGATTCCTCGAGATTAGAGGGGGTAGGTAGTCAGTTATCAGTCATAAAGTCAGATTCCTTGTTGGGATTTGAATTCTGGAAGAGGCAACCTGGCTCCTTGCAGCCAGCTAGTTGGGACTACAGAAACCTCTCCACCGCCAAGAGCAGGACTTGTGGACATACATTGGGGAAGAACAGCCCAGAATCAGGAGTCACCTAACCCAGGTTTAGTGTCTCCGTGTTCAGGGAAGAGGGTGGTGGTGAAAAAGTAAGGATGGAGTCTCACCTTCAGAGTGGACAGTTCCCAGAGGCAAGAAACTGAAAGAAGGCTGGGATATTTTCAGAGAAATGACCTTTAAGAAAAGCTTTGATCCTCACCTAAGCAATATTCCGAGTCCCCTTTTTCTCTTTCGTTACCCCATTCTCCGTTTCTCCCCTCCCTCCCGTAGGTGCTGGTCAACATTGGGCTCAACTTTGACTCTGAACGCAGCACTTTCATCGCACCCCGAAAGGGCATCTACAGCTTTAATTTCCACGTGGTCAAGGTGTACAACAGGCAGACCATCCAGGTGAGGCTGCATGGCTTCTTCACCAAGGAACTTTCCTTTTTGCCCTGGGCGGGAAGGCAGCCCCCTCCCCAATTTATGCGAATGAAGGAAAGTGACCAACTGTTTTCTACTCCTTTGGTGAGGAATCGACTCCCTTGACTTAAGCTAAGTGCCTTTCCGAGTCAGCCTGCCTAGCTCCAGGGCTGCACAACGAATGCGAGGAGGTGTGTTTGCAGACATTTCTGTCTGAGTATTTAGATGTCCAGGCATTAGTGAGTGTGTGTCATATCCATCACCTGCTCAGTGCAGAAATCCTGTGCCAGAAACCATCCAGCAAAAGGGAGTTGTTGATTTCCCTGTGTGGTATATCCATTCTCATGTGGGGATTTGAAGTTGTTTTGCAGATTTTGACATTCAGGTCCGTGTAAAACACGGTGAAGATCGTTGGCTGGGTTTTTCATTGCAGAATTATACTATATGGGCAAGATTTATAGAGGTGACATATGTATACAAATAAGATTTAGAGAGAGAGAGAGAGAGAGAGATTTAGTGTATATACATAACGAATGTACAATATATACTCATATAGTATATTTTCTCATGTACCTGGCCGAGAATAATGCAATAGTGAAGAAAAAGTGTTGGGCCCTGGAAGGCTGTAGTTTAATCCTACTCTTCATTTTAAAGCTTTCTTGGAACCTGCTACTTCCTTGCTTAAGCTCTCTATTGACTGCAGTGAAAATGAAAATGAAGAGTGAACTATCCTATTATTTATCACTAGGTATAAATCTGTCCGGTTCCTCAGCTAAGGTTTTTATCTAGCTTCTCACCATTCCGGATCTGAAAACAGTTGCCAAAAGCTATTCTCCCTAGATTGAGGCTTTCTGATTTATAGAAAAATGGTGTTGGTTGTTCTTCTCCTTTCCATTTAGAGTCTTCATGTCTCCAGTATTTTGTGCTATGACCCAGGCATTTACTTAAAAAAAAAAACTTCCCACTCTATAAAGTTGGATTTTCTTCCAAGAACACATCTTTAATAATGAGGCAGATGTTAACTTTGTGCTTCCTTACTAATATGCATCCATGAAGGGAAGCCAAATTGTTTTTTATGTTTTATTTTGTTTTTTCTTTTGTTTTCTCTCTTCTCTTCTTTCTCTCTTCTCTTGTCTTCTCTTCTCTTTTTCTTAACATTCCTTTAAATTTTCTCCTAGGAAGAAATTAAGTTTAATTAAGTGAGATTAAGTTGTATTCACAAAAAGCACAAAATATGATACTACTGTAAAACCAGTATGTGGAGTAAAAGGAGGGCGGTCGTTTTTAAAGTTAAGTGTGGACAAAACCAGCAGCCCCAGTCAGGTCTTCTTATAATTCATTAATTTCAATGAGCAAAAGTTGTGGTTTTATTTTTGAAAGTACTCTTCTGCAGAATACATAAATACATTCTAGATATATGGATAGAGAATGATTGACTGGCTGATTGAATTTCATCTTGAAGACATTTGTCATTCAACAGTCACAATCCTATTTCTTGTCATTGATACATCCATTGTTCTCGAAGGCTCTATCACCCACTGTCTGCCGTCCTCATAGGGGGATAAGCATTGTGCTTAGTCCTTTAGTTTTGCTGTAGAAGCACACCTTCTTGGAAGCTACTTACAGCTTTTCTTACTCATGCTTGCTCTCTTTATGGACTATCAGACAAATGACTGGGGAAAGCTCTCTTATCAATGGAAACCATGTTTCATGAAGATATTGCTTTTTTAGACCAACCTGAAATGCTGCAAAATATTATTCGAGTTTTTAAAAACTCTTTACTAAGCAAAATGACAAACATCTGGAAGAGGGAAAAAAAACATATAGTAAGTTTTGAAGGCTGGCTTGCATCCAGTTATCGTTTTGCAAAGAAAGTTGGAACAGTCACCAACAAAACATGAGTCTCAGGCACAGAAATAATGCTAGATTCCCCCAGAATTTGCTGAGCATAAACAGCACATTCCCTAGCCCTTCAGCCTTTTACGAGGAGCATTTGTCTGTATAATTGGGACCTAATTAAAACTTGCATTCTTCGAAGTGAGAAAAGATCAGCAGCGCTATGTTCACACAACTTGCAGTTCAATGCTCAGTGTGCAAACCTGAGTCAGCTTTAACCTTGGTTTTCTTCCGTTCTCACTTTGGTTTCTTCTTGGTTGGGTGACATTAGCGTTTTTTAAAAAATTCAGTCTGATTAGTTAAGTTATGCTTCAGTGTATCTTGTCCCTCTAGCTGTTAATTCTGTAACCAAGTTGAATGGATTGTGAAAATGTAAGTTGGGTTGGTTGATGTGATAGTAACATCTAAAGAACCTCAATCAACACATCTCAATCTAATCTAGTCTAGTCTAGTCTAGTCATCTATATTAATCAAATCTAAGCTATTTGCCCCCCAATAACTTTGGAACTTTCAAGTATACCTCCCTATAAAAAAATGGACATCATTTGAAATCTTGAGCTATGGAGGACTTAGATTCATTGACTGTCTTCCAGGTCATAGTAGGACTTCCTGAATCTTTGAGATAGAATCTTTTTCTTTCTCTATAAATTCTAAATTTGAGGGTGCAACTTCATGTCTGAAAATTGACATGTAAAGTATAGGTTTGCTCAGAAACTATTCTGTTAAAATGAGTCAAATTTAAGCCCAAGTGTGCAGCTTGGGTGGACCATAAATACAATTTCTATCTTTTTCTACCCATAAGGTGCAAATGTATATTTCTTTAAGAACAGGTCTTGACTTCTGCTTTAGGAAGCCATAGCTCAGTTCTTCAAAAGAGGCTAGAAATTTCTACATTCAGGGCCAATTCCTCTTCCCTTTTATCACAGTCTCCTTGATAGACTTAAAATGCTAAAAAGCAAAAAAAAAAAAAAATGGAGAAATTGCTATATTTAAATATATATATCTCCACATCATTTGGCAATAACAATTGTAGATTTCATTAAGCCTCCACCTACCTTTTGTTTATAATTTAAGGACTGTGCACATATGTGTAGAAAGAAGGTGAGCGGATTTTAAGGAAGCATAGAAAGAATGACATGAGAAAAAGGAAGATTGCATTTATGGGAATCTTTAATTACTGGCCATGGAAGATTTCGCTACGGAGGCATGCAAAGTGTTGAATTTCTAACATTCCTCTGAAAGAATGCTATAATCTCTGTTGGGCCATGTTGCCTTTATCAAGGTTTCAGCATTTTTTGCTGGTCCACAAAATAGGTGTTCCCGCCCCACTCCCTGGCCCCATAGACACTGCCTGGAACAAGTCTGTTATTGCATCTCCCTTGTCTTACATTTGAAGATTTAACACGGGAGACAAAGCACCCAGATTTCCTGAAAGAAAAGCACTATTTTAGAATGCAGAGTAGAGGCTGACTATATTCCATGCTGGAATTTCAGCCGTGATCCACATGCATCAAATTTGAGGGCACTGCTCATATCACTTACAGACCTCATTATTTCCTCTTCTCCTTGAGATTCCTAAAAAACATAAACCAGATCTATATTTTTTTCTCTCTCTCTTCTTATTTGATTGTCTAACTCCATACAAGGCTGAATTTAGAAGCTGGGGCTTAAAAAGATAATTACAGTAGTGTTAAAGGGGCTTTGAAAGGTAATTACAGTAGTGTTAAAGCCGAAAAAAATTCCTTATACTCTTGGATCTTTTGTTATTGCAAATAAATTTGATTTCGCAGCACAAATAATGATAGATGGATAGATGGATAGATTAGATTAGATTAGATAGATAGATAGATAGATAGATAGATAGATAGATAGATAGATAAGGAAGGAAGGAAAGGAAGGAAGGGTGATTATGTCTAGTACTCATTGCTAAAAAACTACAGAGAGTGACATTTTCATACTGTCCATATCTCTTAAGCCAGCCATGCCTCTTTTTTTTACATTTCTTTTTTCTTCTGCCGCTGTAAAGATCTTTATTCCACGAGTTTCCTTATGTGTTTTAAGATTACAAACCCAGCAAAGTCCATCTTTCCATAGCACAAATTTAGCAAAGCTAACGATGCAACTGTTTTTGTTCAGATAATGGCTTAAAGAGCAGGTCTACCAACAGTTCCCATGTCCTGGTACCCTTTGAACACAGGGGGACTGGCTTATGAGTAAATTGGTAGCCAGCTGTACTTATAGTCTTTCCTGTGCCCCGGCTGCAACATTCATAATTGAAGGAGCAGCTAACGGTATCTATGAAGACTCCCTGGGTGGGTGATCTCTTTTCCTGGATGCTTTTAGCTAAAAATGTTTCCCCCGCAACACCACCCTCACCTCCGTGCATGCATGCATGCATGCATCTGTCCAGCAGAGTCTTCCTTTGTTTCCTTTGTTTTTTTTCCTTTCACTGATGGGAAGGTGGGCTTGTCTTCTGCCTTTGCTTCCAGGTGAGCTTAATGCTCAACGGGTGGCCGGTGATTTCTGCCTTTGCGGGGGACCAAGACGTCACACGGGAAGCTGCCAGCAACGGGGTCCTGATCCAGATGGAGAAAGGAGACCGTGCCTATTTAAAACTGGAGCGAGGAAATTTGATGGGAGGCTGGAAGTATTCCACTTTCTCAGGATTTCTAGTTTTTCCTCTTTAAATGACTCGCTGACTGAAGGAGGAGGAGGAGGAGGAGGAGGAGGAAGAAGAGAAGGCAGGGGACAATTCAGCCAGAAGTAAGCTTGAGATTTGCTTACTGATTCCCACCCCTGAACTGAAGGAACTTGGAAATTGCACATGCCTGGATAAGATTTACCTATTGCAGAAGTTTAAAACTCTGACTGAGGTCTTGTGCAATTGCTTGGAAGATCTCGGTAACAACCCGGACAGTCGTAGGGAGATGCTCGCTGTGGACATCCTTCAATAACGTTGCTCTCTTTTCTTTGCAAACAGTATTTGTGTCCTCTACATTTATCTGGTGATGTTGTATCCATCAATTCCTCACTTTCAGTGTGTCCTTTGACCTTTGCAATCTTCCCGCTCCCCCAATCTGGTTGTTTTTTTTTTTAACTTTTCATGACCCTCGTACAAGGAATCTGGGTTTGTTTTTACCTATCTATCTATCTATCTATCTATCTATCCATCCATCTATCTATCTATCTATCTGTATACATATTTTTTACTCTCTCCCTGAGTTTAAAGAAAAAAAATATTTTTGAATATATGGTGCCATGGTAAGCAGTGTAATGCAAACCTTAATGAGTGCTAGCAAGCAGGCAAGAATATATGCACACACACACACACACACACACACACACACACATGCATGCATATATACATGTATGTATTTATGTATGTATGTTAACTATAATGTAGGTAAATTCCTTAACTAGTCTGCCCTATTGCTGTGGAAATTGGAGTGAATGTGAAGTTTACCAACTGGTTGATGGTTGGTTCTTTCTCCCTCTAGTTAACATTTGGCTCAGCTGCAGAAAATAGACCAAACCTTTGCTAATTCATCTCAAAGACAAATTGCGACTATTGACCATTTCACCTCTTTTAATGGCCTTTTCATTTCATCGTTTTTTTTTTCTCCCTTACATGAAAAACCTGGCCCGGTTAATGCAATCATAGTCAAACTTAGAAAGAAAGAAAAAAATTACAAGAACGAAACTACAACAGGCCAGAATGAATGAATACGTCAGCACGACACCACAGTGTGCGTTGGGAGTGCAGAAGACCCAGCCCAAGACTACAAATTCTAGTTTCTTGGAAAGACTGATTGAAACAAAGTGAAAAAGTTCAAGGACTAGCAGTGTAAAGACTTCCGTTTAACTGTGTTTGATCTCTAGCTTTGTTCTGTCTCTTCCCATTATTTTATGTGGTGTTTTTTTCAGGAATGGGAGAGGAGGGAATGGGTGGGGCGAGAGAATCGGTCAATCTTAGAGACTGTATTTTCAATTTGCAAATATTGCCGGAATGATTAAGTCTTGAAGTGGGGGAGGATGAGGGAGAGTCCCCTTTCTTCCCTTGAAGCGGTCACATCTGACAAATTGACCTCTGTATCCTGTATTATAGCATATAATCTCTCCGTCAAATCCCGTTTTCTACAGCTGTCTTATTAAAAAAACGAGAAGAACAAGGAAAACCCCTTACGCGGTAGACCTAAAATGCTAGTGTTCATTAATTGCTAGTATTATTTTTGTTTAAAGTATCTCAAAGATGTAAATGCTATAATTTTGCAGCACTTTAGAGAAAATAACTACTTTTATTATCCAGGTGCAGTTAAGATAAAACACTTTGGATTGTATTCGAATCATCGTGTGAAATAAAAAAACAACAACCGGTGGAATAAATAAATAAATAAACAAACAAACAAACTGACCTCGTGGAGGGGCGGGGAAGAGATGGAGAAATAAATAGACCTGGATCTCCTTCCTACTGTACTGTTCTGTTTTGTTGCCTGAAGGACACAGATCAGCTCCCAAATGGAATTATTCTTTGATAAATCAAAATAATCGCTGCCAGTGTCTATTTGCAGCAGTGACATGGGCCATGGCTGCTATATAGTTAAAATAGAATGGATTCTTCAATCCTGTCTCCCCACCCCCATCCCCTTCCTCAAGAAATCCAGGGTTCCAAGAACAAATTTAATTAGCTCCTAAGAGGGCAGTTAATTCTAGCTTAATAAGCAATGTTATTCTTTTATGCTTGCTGTCACCGTCCCTTTTGTTAGCGAGAAGGAGTGTCTTTGTTAATAGCTCCCTTCCGCAAACAGACTGGAGAATAGAAAGAGGGTGTGGAAGGCAGTGAATGACAAGCCAGCTCTTCTGAGAAATCTTTGAGTGGATGGGCAAATAACTGTGGTGTAGCTGTGTCTCCCTCCTGAAAGCCCTTGGTTCTTTGTATGTCTTTGCAATTTACCCATTCCTGAATGGCTTTAGGGGACTGGAGGCTAAAGCATGTAAGGAACGGCTGCTGGAATTGGGTAGGTCTAGTCTAATGAAGAGAAGGACGAGGGGGAACATGAGAGCAGTCTTCCAGTATCTCAGGGTCTGTTCCAAAGAAGAGGGAGTCAAGCTCTTCTCCAAGGCGCCTGAAGGCAGGACAAGAACTAACAGATGAAAAGAGAGAAGCCAGCTAGACCTATGGAGAAACTTCCTGACAGTTAGAACAATTAACCAGTGGAACAACCTGCCTCCAGAAATGGTGAATGCTCCAACACTGGAAGTTTTTAAGAAGAGACTGGACAGCCATTTGTCTGAAATGGTATAGGGTTTCCTGCCTGAGCAGGGGGTTGGACTAGATGACCTCCAAGGTCCCAACTTTTTATTATTATTATTATTATTATTATTATTATTATTATTATTATTATTATTATTATTATGGATCATCGCACAGTCAGCCAGATATTCAGACTGGATTTGGCATTTTGTCTACCTATCGAGTCCTTACCCAGGACCTGGGATAGGCAGATGTGGATGTTTGTGGTATTACAGATATCGTCGCAGGATGGAAGCAGTTCCTAGTAAGGCCGCCTTTTGCAATTGACTAATAGCAAATTTGTCAATGCCAATGGTGTTCAAGTGGTGCTCCAGTTGTTTTGGGATTGCACCCAAGGAGCCTATTACTATTGGTACTACCCTTGCTTGCTTTTGCCACAGTCTTTCTATTTCTATTTGTAGGTCTTTGTATTTTGTTATCTTCTCCAGTTCTTTCTCTTCTATTCTGCTGTCTCCAGGCACTGCCACATCCACTATCCAGACTTTTTTGTCTTTCTTATCGACAATTGTTAAGTCTGGGGTGTTATGTTGCAGGTGCTTGTCTGTTTGAATTCTGAAGTCCCAGAGCAGTTTAATTTTATCATTTTCTATGACTTTCTCTATTTTATGATCCCACCAGTTTTTGCTTACAGGCAAATGATATTTTTTGCAGATCTTCCAATGCACCATTGTTGCTACTTTGTCATGCCGCTGCTTGTAATCAGTCTGTGCAATCTTCTTGCAACAGCTTACCAAGTGGTCCACTGTTTCTTCAGCTTCTTTGCATAGGTGGCACTTACTGTCTGTTGCTGTCTTCTCAATTTTGACTTTGTATGCATTTGTCCTTAAGGCTTGGTCTTGTGCAGCCAGAATTAGTCCCTCGGTCTCTTTCTTCTGCTTTCCCATCTATTTTTTTCACATATTAATAATATTTTTCAATTATGATGATGATGATGATGATGATGTAGCATGCAGCTTGGGCAACTTGATTGTCTGCTCAGCTCACTTCTGGTACAGCAAAAAATCTGCAAAGGAGATTTTCCTTCTCCTGATGTTACCTACAGTAGTTTGAGCAATGAAACATCTGCAAGAAAAGCACCAAGTTCGGAGAGCACCATGGACTCTCATTTCAACCTTGAACTACAAAGATTCTCCTTTATTGGTATGTTCTCCTTTAGCTGGCAGCTCTAGGGGTTTGGGGGTCAATCCTACCATTTGGAATAGATTTTTCTACTCTGATGGGAGAGACGGTCCATTTCTTCCGCAGAAGAAGACAAATGCTGCCATTCAAGCTCCTGATTCAAAGTATGATGTTCCTTTTGCCTCCTGCCCTGAGTTCTTAGACAGATTAACTGGGTGCTGTCTCATCTCAATAGGAAACGTAATGCGCTAACCCTGCTGTCAAGTCTTTTTTTTTCAGTTTTATTCTTGCAGCATCCATGGAATGTTGTCTAGCTAGGCTGAAATGCTACTTCAGAGGCTGCTTCATGATGATGGTGGTGTTTGATTTATGAACAATCTGTTTACAGGTCTGAGAGAATTGGGTGAACCCTGTAAACAGGTTCTTCCCACCCCAAATATGGCGCGCTGCTTAAACGGCTAATCCCTACCACCATTTATTTATTTGTGCTAACATGAGGCTAGACTACTTATAAAACTTTCCAAGTCCTAACAGATGAAAGATGCTAAGTTGTGAGTATTACAGGACAAGGGCAAAGCTAGGAGAGCACATTTAGAAAAGATAAATCATTGCATTTCATGCAGGCTGGGTAACTTTATGCAAAATAGCTACTGCACGGTGAAGGTTTTGTTTTTTGAAGTTTGTTGAGAGGGTTCAAATTCTTCCCCTGTGCAGTGCAAGCCAGGACTCTGAGTATCTCATCTACGTTGCATAATACAGCAATGGTCTACTAAACTATTGACTAGGGTGTCTATTGTTGCATAACAAGAAAGGGCCTCAGCAACAACAAAGCATTACATTTGCACTGCCCCATATATAGAATCACAGATTAATCAACCATAATTTAGCTTAATGCAACTGGTCCATTTATCACTCGGTGCGTTGTAGGAGTCTAACAAAATGGATTGATAACACATAACACAGAAAAATGACAGCCTCCGCAGAGACATGGAGATATAATAACTGTGCCTATTGATTAATAGCTAGATGATAAAAAGTGCAACATAAAAAAAATAGATATTATGAATTCCTTCTCACTGTCCAGCTTTCTTGGTGTTCTTTATATGAGGTAACTTTAAACTTAAATAATATGCAGATGGAGCATGTATTCAAATTGGCCGGCTCCACTCCCGTCAGCCCAATTATTCTGGCTGGCAGGGTCCAGGAGAAGGGCCTTTCCCGCACTTTGAAACATCTTGCCCCCCCCATGTGAGGTTGGCTCCAACCCTCCTATCTTTTTGTAAGGGCCTAAAGATGTGAGTTTGGGGCCCCCATGGGAGAAAAGTGCAATGGAGGTGGCTGATTGAGTAATAACAGATCCCACCTCATTCCCCCCTCCCCACACTCCACCCCTGCCCTCCCCATGTGTCCTTGGTTTTAATGTCTGATTTTAACTTTTATGTGTTAACTGTATACTGTATGCAACTGTAAGCTGCCCAGAGTTACCCTATAGTAAGATGGACGGCCAATACATTTTATAAATAAGTAAATGCTAGACCTAGGCTGGAAGAATTGTGCAAAGAATTGATTTCAGCCTCTGGGTTTAATGGATAAATAGGGTGTGAATCCCTCTTAGCAATCTAAATTACTCAGTGCCCCAGATCATTGTGTTCGATAGGTTCTTCTGATGACACTTCTAAGCTAGGATGCCACTTCCAACAAAGGGTTTACAGCAGGGGTGTCAAACTCAGTTTCACTGAGGGCCGCATCAGCATTGCAGTTGCCCTCAGGGGGCTGGGTGAGTGTGGCCAGGGTGGGCATGGATGGAGTGGGTGTGGCCTATTGGGTGGGCATGGCCAGCTCTACATCATTTGCGTCAAGGGTGCCTGTGGGGGCCTGGGCAGGAGTGGGACAGATCTGAGGGTCTCTGGCAGAAGGGGGTGGGACCGGGGCAAGTGCCAAGGCATGGTCCACTGGGGCAAGTGCCAAGATGGCCACCACAAAATTGTACATTGGCTCCCGGCCAGCCTGGGCCAGGGCCAAGGCAGCGGGGGCCGTTCCCTCACTGTTTCCAGAATGACTTCGCGGGCCACATGAAACCACTTCGCGGGCTGCATCCGGCCCCCGGGCCTTGTGTTTGACATGTCTGGTTTACAGGCTCAGGACATCTATGTCCTTTAACACTATGAAAGAATGAACAGTCCCTGGTTTTGACCCCAAAATAAGAGCCACAGAGATCAAAAGGCACAGGGAATAAGCTGATTGCTCAAAATCTGTTTCCTATTTTTGAGGGACCCACAGCCTCTATAGAAAACTACAGAAAAAAAAATCCTTGTTACAATGCAGACTAATAAATAAAGTTGAGGATGGGCTGTTTTTTGTGTAAAACAGCAATCGTTCTATTGTTAAGAAATGTCTTAGTTGGATTTACAGTCTTAGGCTGGCATAATATGAATTGTCACCCAGTGCATCTGAATAACACTATGGCTGGATTTATTTATTTTGGTCATCGGCCAGGGCAACTGGTGGCTGACCCTGTTATAGCCTAGTTATGTGAACCTGTACTGTGAATACCAGCTCTGTTGTTGTATTCACAAACTTAATCTATGTTTACATAACATATATCCAAACAAACCAGATAATGCTATGACTGGTTGATGTTCTTTGCACAGGTTAACACAATATTTGGTATCCTTCCATAAACAAAAGCTTCCCAATCCCATTTTAATCTAGTTTGCAATGATGTACAACCTTAGAAAACTGGGTTGAGTAAACCATGGTTCAGCTCATCATGAGAAACTGTCCAGCACCATGTACTTAAGTAGAATATCCAAATGCTGGAATTTTATATCTGTGTGAATCAAGTCCCAATGAACGGCATGGGAGTATATTTTTTTAAAAAAAATATCTCTGCTTTTTTAACACCACACTCTTCCTAAGGTCTCTCCTATTCACCCAAAGTAAAATATTATTTTGCGCAAATTTGCCTATAACAGGATTGGCTGGTTGGTTTCGAAGGGGTAACC